TCTCAAGACATGTTGACGAGTCGTACTTATGCAGCTTAATGTATACCGGAAAAGTTGTGTGCCTCAATGCAGCAATAACATTTCTCATATGCTCGTAGAGTTCCAATTCCATTAAGAGCTAAAAGATAAAACACTATTTGGATATTATCCATTCAAGGAAGATTTAAATTATGCTGTATATAACACTAAATTATCTGTTTCCGAAGCATTACCTCATTGTCAATAGTAGGATCCTGCCCATCATTTTCACCTTCCTCTTCTTCCAGTTCACCTTCACTTTCCTGAAATGTTGAAATCACTTAGGGGCAGACTCCTTGAACACCATACCGGCTAAAAACTTAAAGGGCAGTACGGTGCACTAAGCTCCCGCTATGCGCGGGTCTGGGGAAGGGCCGGACCGCAAGGGTCTATTGTACGCAACCTTACCCTGCATTTCTGCAAGAGGCTATTTCCACGGCTCGAACCCGTGACCTCCTCATCACATGGAAACAACTTTACCAGTTACGCTAAGGCTCCCCTTCACCGGCTGAAAAATTGCATGACAAATATATAAGAGCAGAAGATTCTAGCCTTAGCTTTTGGTTATACCAAAGTGAGGAGGAAATCTATGACATGCTTTCTTTGTTTATTTTCTATTTTATAACGAGCAACGAACTCTTAATTGTGTTAAAATTGCTCTTATCCTGGTATAGACAGTAGGTAGAGAATGGAACTGCTCTTACATAATCAAGCAACAGAAGTTACTAAAGGTGTGCACATGAAATGAAGCTCAACTGAGAAGTCACATCATCCCTCAAATAGACATAAATTCACAAAATTCTTGATTTGAGTATAAAGGACTGGCGTTGGCATTCCAGTTCCTCTAGGTCAGGGTAGAACACCATCTTCGTCTATAATTTATGTATTTTTTTTCTAAGCAACAAATATATAAACTACTTAAAAGTGTAGGATTAAGTTTCAAATCAAGCGNATCCGGTATTTTCTGAATCCTTATGTAAGGAATTACAAAAGAAATTCTTTCAACAAAGACGTGAATTAGGAAGGATTGGTCGACGAAATATGAACCGAAGACTGAACCTTGATATACCCCAGAACAATACATTTTTGTTACCACGAGATATAGTTATATCGATAAGACATGGTAGAGATATTCGAGAGAAAATTTGGTCATCTCTAAATAATATAGAACCAAATTAAAAAACAGTACAACTGAAACCTTAGTAAAGAAACTTAACTGGAATCATGGTTTGTGTAGATGAATCGACCACATCTGCCGTTCTCTCTCCACCACCAGCATTAGCAGAAAGGAGCTCATGAGTATGTTCAAGCAAGGAATTCAATGTCGAGCTCCCAGACATCACTCTTTGACATACTAAGCAAAATTCAGCATGAGAAGAATGGTTTACATCCTCCTGGTTAGACACGAATTCAGCTGATGCTCGACCACTCTGTCCGAGTTCGACCTGCACTTCCTCGATATGGGACTGGATACTGCCATCTATTGGCATATTAGCAGGAGTTGAATTAGCACTAGCATTAAGAGTTCCACTGAAGGTCGAGTTTTCAGCATTAGAGTTGGAGCTCTCCATCTGAGGTGCAACTGGAAATCATTTGTTGTTAGTTAGAACGATTGGTTGAGATTTTGAAGTCCTCTTTACTAATAGAAGAGAGATAGCTCTGGGAAGAGCTTGAAAATTTCTTTTCAACAGAATTACCGAAATCTTTTCCTGGCCAAAAGATTATACCAATGGAAAAACTACAATGTACTGAAAGCACAGGTGTAAACTAAAAGACAAGAAGGGAGAAAATACTGAAAGCACAGGTGCGTAAACTAAAAGAGAAGAGGGAAGAACACCAAGCAAACCACCAGTACAGTAGGTGACAGGAAAAACTACCTCATCAAAAGACAACAACAAACAACAAACCCGGTGTAATCCCATATAGCGGGGTCCGGTTGGCAGGGAGGGTTAGAGTGTACGCGACCTTACCCCTACCTTGTGAAAGTAGAGAGGCTGTTTCTGGTAGACCTTCGGCTCAAAGAAAAAGGAAAAGAAGCAGAAATAACAATTGGTAACAACAACGGGAAAGGTGATAAGGTGATACAGAGATAGAATAACTGAAGCAAACGAACCAACAAATAGTAAAAGAAATCTGCAGATAAGAAGAAACGGTCATACAAGACTAATACTAATGCAACCGACATGAAAGGGAGATCTCACACCTATAGACTAACCTTCTACCCTAATCCCCAACCTCCAGAACCGTCTACATTTAAGATAAAATATAAAGGTAGATATAAAGTTAAGGAGTTACAATATGTGTAAGCTTTAGGCGTTTGATATAAGGAAATTGATCCCATACCCTCCCACAACAACAAAACTAGTGGATGCAAAACTATTGGGAGAACCTCAATTTTTTCACTAAACATGCATTCTCATTTAGCCGTTACTCCTTATTTTCCACTTCCTCCATCACTAAAAAGTCAACATTAAAGGGCCAAAAGGATTTGCATTGGTTTGTCAAAAGAATGTGTAATGCTTTCTAATTCAAAGTTCAAGATTAATAGTGTTTTCTGTGCTTTGAAGTACATAGATTCTATTATAACAAACCAATACAACATTAGTCAATTTGATAATGTTATAGTCAATCAGGTCAAGTTTTTTAGAAGGAAGGAGCCTATAATAAAGCATTTCAAAAGCTACAACTTCATTAAGTAAAGCTTTTAACTTTTGCTACAGAGATGATCAGGGGTGGATGCAGCCTATTATACGTGGGTTCCCGTGAACCTAGTAGCTTTTGCATATACCCTGTATATATATTAAAAAATTACCTAAATATCCATAAATATTTAGTTGTGAACCCAGTTACTTATTGTATATTTACTTAAGGTCGATATAGGAACCCATAAACTTTAAATCCTGGATCCGCCTCTGGAGATGATATAGTAGTTCCATCATCTTTTAGAGAAATAATACAGTTCCTCCATTATTTACTTTGAGCTGTTTATTGAAATTATTCCGAACTGTCATATTTCACAAAGATTTCAAATTCATCTACAGTTACTTGTGCAGGTATTGGAAAAACGTTGTTTATTAGAGTTAATTAATAAATTTCTCTAACTTGCTGGGAGGTCAATCATATGTTAGCAAGAAACTCACTTTCCTTTCTCCTCACTTTCTTGTCCAGCGCATTCTCTGGATGTATTAAAGAATTTAACCTGACATATATTAAATAACCTAGAACTTACTAGCAGATATCCTTATACATACAGAGATCACCTAAAAGGAAAATCTATCACATTAAGCCAACTTCCGGATAACACAAAATTGCAAAAAGGAAAATATCCCATAAAAGGTTTACAAGAAAAGACAGTTGCCACAGAAACAGGTAAAGAAATATTTACCTCAAATGTAGCAAATGTTCCCTTAAGTAGACACGAGACAGCAAAATTTCAGTCTGCAAAAACAAAAGTCACAGTTCAGGCTGACGAACAACAAAAGAAGTTTAGCAGTATCTGGAAGCAGTAAGTAATGTTTGATAAACTGCAAAGTAATTCGAACTCTCTAGCCCGAGAGCAGTATCTAGCCAATGTTTTTTTTAATTATAAGCTAGTGTCCTTCAAAAAGAAAAGGAGCATCATCCATATCTAATTAATCTGAACTAAAAGATCAATGACAATCACCCGAAAAAAGTTTGTAACACACGTAAAACCTTTTTTCCCCCCTTTTTAGGGGGGCTCTCTCTGATATCTCATATCCTCTTCACTTCATCCTTCCCTTTTCCCCAAAAATTTTGGGTATTCAGAACCACAGACCGAATTGTAAAGAATGACACAACACAGTGAAGTCATATTCTACCACAGATTGTGGCCAGATCTCATCAAAATCAAAATCTGATGCCAAAAACATAGCATAGGAAAGAAATATATGACTTATCAGAAAAGGAAAGAAAAATATGAATCATCATGGATACATGCATGACCATCAAGGTGATGGTTTCAATGGTATAATCAAAATAAACCAACTAAATTATTTTACGACGAAAAGGCACCAACTTTTTTGTGTCCCCCTTATTAGCATACTCCATGCATCAAACCATAATATATCAAGATAAGAATGCAGAGATTAATACTCACCCATATCTGAATCAAGGGAAATGCTTTGGTTGCAATGGAAGTAAATGGCAAAGGGAAAAGTGGGTGGTGAGTGGGGACTATTTAATAAAACACGAGATTACAGTAATTCATATTCATGAATCAGCAATTAAACAGTTATGAACCGAAGATAGTAACAAATTTAAAACAAGAGATTACAGCAATAACAGTCTAGAATTGAGAATAGTAAAAAATTTAAAACAAGAGATTACAGCAATAAACAGTCAAGAATTGAGGATAGTAACAAATTTAAAACACGAGATTACAGCAATCAAGATTCACGAATAGGAGCAACCTTAATTACAGCGCTCACATAGAGAGAAATGCATGGAAATGGCGATACGAGGCAATGCAGCCTCCTCGCATTGCAAACCAATATGTAGTCTGTAACATACACAGGGAAACAGCATGTTTCTTGAGCATCATCATACTCATGTCACTACTATTGTGGTTCTTGGACATTATCCTTGATGAGTTCATACTGATATGCTATTAACCCTTTTGTCTTTAGCCTAACAGACTAGTCTTTCCCTTAAATTTCTCTTGTTTGTGCTGGCTCTGGGTTTTGCCGGATATGCGCCTTCAGTAAGGAAAATCAGGGTGATTTGCACAAATAGTATCATTTCGGGCTACTGGTTATCTTTTGTACCTCTTTAAAGAATCTGTGCGAAAATAAGCCTTTTTAAGTTTACTGGAAAAAAAACTTGGACTATAATACTCTCCAACCTAAAATAGCCGAGCAGGATACTCGAACTTTAGATCGATCACCACCAAGATTTCGCATTCAAATTTGGTAAAAGTATAATTCGATAAGTTAGGAGCACCTTCTCCTACTGTTTCACAATTTCAGCAGAACTTCTAGTACATTCATGCAAACAGATGACTTCCCAAAATTCTAAAGATGATGAAAAAGCTAAATCGTATGGGTCTAAGCAAAAGTCCAGCAGTGAAAAAAAATTTATCTCTACGTGAATTAGTTTGAGAAGAAGTGAAAAGAACCTTAATGTCAGGAATTCTGACTGCATAATTTCAAGTCAGTCTAGCATATCTGCTAACGAATAGACAATTACAGTAATAAATTTATAATGTAATCCTAGTCAATATCTAATATAACTGAGATGACTAGTTATCTGAAGACGCTCAGGGCAGTATCTACTTTCAAGTTTCAAGGGCTAAATTGATTCTTGAATTCCAATATCTAACCTAGCGGATTAAGGTTGCTACTCGGTCATGCAACACTAATCCACATTATTCACTCCACCCCTCTCCTTAAACATTTCTGAAGAAAAAGGGAAAGACAACCCAGACTAAGATCATATTATCCTCCAACCTTTTGTTCTAGTTTTACTGGATATATTTGAAAGAACTCAATCTTCTTAATTCTCAAAACCATAATAGATTCTAATACAAAAAGACACTGTTTTACTTGCACCTAAGAAAGAAGCACAAATGAGGTATTCAAATACTGCAGAAAATATTGCATATTAAATATTTTGGACTGAAAGAGTACATATAAAGTAGTACATATTAAAGAGACATTTATGTGTATTCATACAAGCACAAATGGGTTCTTTTTAGTAAGTAGTACAAACAATCAGGTGCACGTAACTTTGGAAACTAAGATAATTCAGTAATTATATCATATCCTAAATGAAGCTGCACCATATAAAGAGGTATTCAAATACGGCAGAAAATATTACATGCATGTGTGTACCTATTATGTAGTTAATACATACACATTTATGCATATTAATATTAACACGTTTTTCCCACTAATTTGAGCACACAATCCAGTACACATAACATAGCAAATAGATCAGTAATTATATCAAGAACTAAAATGAAGCAGCACCAGTAAAGGAGGTATTCAAAACCAGCAGAAAATATCCAACAAACCAAATTTGTGATATAAGCTACTCAAAACCAACATGGGTAGTAAGTTATCTTTAGCTTCGAGATCTGGCTAAATCTTATTATCATCGAAAAGCAAGAAAAAGCATCAAACTTACTAAAAATAGAACTAAAAACCATTGTTTTCTCTATCTGAGAACGGTTCCTTATTTTTAAGTTCTGCTCAACTCTCTTGAGCACATCAAACAACCAGATGCAGAAAGATGCCACCAGTCGGTTCACCCAGCCAAACTGTAACTGATTACTGCAGCCGAGCGAGCACAAAGTGCACGGATTATACTTGTAGAATAGCCAATGCATCCCTCTTGCAAATGGGGCAAGACTTATTGCGCTCGATCCACTTTTTAATACAATCAACATGGTATAGATGGCCACAATCAGTTTTTGCGAGTTCTTCCCCGTCGCAGTAGTCATCCTAATACACACATGACCAAAAAAAAAAAA